TTCTGAAGGAGAGAGAGTGAGTGAAGAAAAGAGAGAGGAGACGACCGGAAGGAGAGAGAGAGCGAGAGGAGAGAGAGAGAGAGAGACAGAGAGAGAGACGATGGGAGAGAGAGGAGAGGAGGAGAGAGAGAGGAGAGAGAGAGAGAGAGAGAGGAGAGAGAGAGAGAGAGAAAACGATTCTGAAGGAGATGAGAGTGTGAGAGAGAGAGAGAGAGAGAGGAGAGAAGAGAGAGACGAGAGGAGAGAGAGAAAGAGAGAGAGAGATGGAGAGGAGAGAGAGACGGAGAGAAGAGAGAGAGGACCGGGAGGAGAGAGGAGAGAAGAGGATGAGAGAGAGAAGAAGAGAGAGGAAGAGAGAAGAAGGGAGATGAGAGAGAGGAGAGAGGGATTTATGAAGGAGAGAGCAGAGAGAGAAGAGAGAGGAGAGAGAGAGAGGGAGGAGAGAGAGGACGAGAGAGAACGAGTAGAGAGAGATCCTGAGAGAGAGAGAGAGAGAGAGAGAGAGAGAGAGAGATGAGAGAGAGAGAGAGAGAGAGAAACGACCGGGAGGATATTAAGTGAACATTAAGGGAGTCGATCCTGCGAGGATTTGGCCGAGGATAAGGAACCAGCGCCTCTGTCTCTCGGCGGAGGAGCGGAAACAGAGGGGGGGGAGGGAGGAGGGAGGGGGAGAGGTGGAGGTATACGAATCTAATTCCGTTAATCAAATTCGTCCTTAATTCCCCCTTCATTAACACCCTTCGCCCTCCCCACTTCCCCCCCCCCCCCACCCTATCCTTTACCCTCTCTTCCCCCCCTCCCCCCTCGCCTTCTCCCCACCCCCCCCTCTCTCTCTGGGATTTCACCTTCTGACACCTTCTCTGCCTCCTCTTCTTGTTTTCTCTTCTCTCACTCATCCCCTTTCTTTCGCCTTTCGTCCCTTTCTCCTTTCCCCCTCTTTCTTTCGTCCCTTCTTCTATCACTCTTTTCTCTTCGCCTCCAATCTTCTTTCCTCTCCTTCCTCTTACTATCCCTTCTGTTCGTCTCTCTCGTCCCCTTACTCACCCTCCACGTTTATCCCCTTGTCACTTGTCCATTTTTCTTCCTCCTCTTCCTCCCTTTCCCTCTTTCCTAACCCCCTTCTCCCTCTTCCGTTCTCCCCCCTCCCTCCTCTTACTCTCCCTGTTCATTCCTCTGCTTCTTCCGTTACCCCTTCTCCGCCTTTTCCCCTCGTTTCCTCATCCCTCTTTCTCCTTCTCTTCCCCTTCCCCCCATGTCCCTCCCCCCCTCCCTCCCTCCCCCTCTCTTCCCTCCTCCCCCCTCGCCCTCTCCCATCCTCCCTCCCTCCCCCCCCTCTCTTCCCTCTCCCATCCCTCCTTCACCCCCTCGTCCTCCCCCCCTCTCTGCACTCTCCCTCCCTTCCTCCCCCCCTCGTCCTCTCCCCTCCTCCCTATCCACCCTCTCTCCCCTCCCTCCTTCCCCCCTCGTCCCTCTCCCCCTCCCTCCCTCCCCCCCTCTCTCCCCTCCCTCCTTCCCCCCCTCGTCCCTCTCCCCTCCCTCCCCCTCGTCCCTCTCCCCTCCCTCTCCCCCCTCGTCCCTCTCCCCTCCCTCCACCCTCGTCCCTCTCCCCTCCCTCCCCCTCGTCCCTCTCCCCCTCCCTCCCTCCCCCCTCTCTTCCCTCTCCCCTTCCTCCCCCTCTCTTCCCTCTCCCCCTCCCCCCTCTCTTGTCAACGTAATTCTGATTCTAGTTGGATTAGACTTTTTTTTCATCTTTTATAATTCGTCAAAAACAATGATAGGATCTAAGTAGCCCATTTTCATTTTGTTCTAGCTAATCTTTTGGATATTATCTCCCTTAACAGATACCATAGATTTTTTTTTTTTTTTTTTTTTTTTAAGGACAATATATGAATTTTTTTTTTTATATGCGATATGATACTGATACGTTTTTTTTTGTTTTTGTTTTTGTTTTTTGTATTAGGATGTTCTCTCCCTGAATTGAATGAAATAAAATTGCTGTTTAATGCAGGGCAAATAATTACATAATTTTGTTGTTTGTTGTTGTTGTTGTTGTTGATATAAAGTTGGCAGATTTTCTTAATATCTTTTGCATGTATACATTAGGAAATCATCTTACCGAAATAGCATGTGATCATCATTACTCTACATATATTATTTCAAGTCAGATTATCACATAACTTGTTTACGTGACACACAATTAGCATTATCATTAGTAAGAGATATCAAGAGATTCTGAAAGTCCTTCTCCTCCTGACTTAAAATCACATTCGCGAAGACACGTTTGAATTACTTCTTGGTTATCAGACTTCGAATAATTACATTTGCATACCGGCTCCTAGGAATTATGTAGTTACACTATGGTTTTTCTTCATATGCAAATCAGGGCTCCTCGCTGAGTGCTGAGGTATGGAGCTGCATTTCTTAGACATGGGAAAGGTGGGTAGGGGGGAAGGGGTAGGAGGAAGGAAGAAAGAGGAGGGGGGGAAGGAGGAAGAGGGGT